AAGTATTTATAGTGATTAGTTTTTGAATTACAACCATATAAAAAAATCGATTTGGTCGAAAACTGATTTTGCGTAAAAATTCCCGTTTTTTTGTCATTTTTTTTTTGTTTTTCTCGATTTTTTTCAAAAATGTTGGAAAATGTTTACTTTTGACCTTTATAATGCACCAAAGATATTCACTTTTACGTCGGAAACCGCCCACAAAGTTTGAAATTGAAGCATTATTTCGACTAGTTATGCTGTACATAGACACACACAAAAAAAACACACATCATTKTAAAATCAATACATTCATCATTTTGTTCAGAATCTAAAAATAGTATTTAAAAAAAAAGGTTTATGATTTTTTTTTTATACGATTGGGACAAGTAATCTACAATAGTTTTTCAAAATCCTTACTCTTAAACATAATTTATGATTTAATACATTTTCAGCTAGGTATATGTATTATAGATCTATTACATTATTTTTTTGATTAAAATTGTATTTTCTACATTCATTTCCCAACATTGATGTACAAAGTAGTAAATACTGAATAGATAATAAAAGGATCCTATTAAAGTTTTATACCAAACATGTCTTTTGCTTATTTTCTAATTTTAAACAGTTTTACTTTCAAACATACAGTATATACTACAACATATTCAATAATATATTATTTATTAATTGTAGTTTAAACCTGAAAACAATTAATAATTGTATAATACAATAACGAAATAATACTATAAAAGTTATAAATCGTTGTATTGTTGAAAAATAACAAAATTATTGTTTTTAATTTTGTATATTATTTGTAGGATCTTGAATATGAAAAGTAAGATGCACAATTTATTACCAATTTAAGTTATTATTATAGAAATTAAATTTCAAAACTTTCAAATATAATATGGTTTGATATTAAATAAAAATGATAATTTATTAAGTAGGTACCTGCTACGAAAACCATCATATATAATCAAAACCTATGTATAAAAATGTAAAATAAAAGGGTTAATATTAAAGCTAGATGAACGTTCAAGTTCTTACATTAAAAAATATAATATTTTATTATAATTGTGAACTGAAATATTTTCCATTTCTTTTATATAAATAGGCATTTATAATTATTATAATATTCATATTGTAACGCAATACGTTAATAATATATTCTCCATTCCGTAAATGTAGTAAACTATTGATCAAGTTTTACAAGAGTCCAAGCATTTGTATTTTGTACTTGGTATGACTTGAAAAATCTCTTCGAAAACCCGATCATGTCCTACATTTAAATTTATATTTAGTCTTTCAGTTAAATAAACCCTTTCAATAATTACTTTTTCTTATTTATAAAAATTAAATTTTAAATATTCTTAAACATTTTATGCAAATTTGACATAATATGGTTGTCATTTAGCATCTCCAATAAATTAACCCATTCAATACGTTGCATTGTAGTAATAAAATAATTAAAAATAATTTACTCCATTTCAAACTAATTTTTATATTATTGTTTATTACAACCACTAGCAGAAATATATTTTTGAGTAACGACAATTTTAAACCTTAAACACTTCGAGTTTATTATAAAAGCATAAAGTAATATACCTATAGAATAACAGTTGATTGTGTTTTCAACATTATATTAAATAAGACTTTGATAACAGTAATAAAAATAAAAATATTGAAATTGAAATTGAGTTTACAAAAGAAAAAAAATATTTCTGTATCGTGAAACATATAATTCGTATCTTATAAAAGACAAAAGTAGGTACCATATTATATTTATAGAAACAACAAAATAAAATAAAGCTTCAAAATTGTACGCAGTAAAATTCTCAACATCTTTCCCAGACATTGCTCATGATGCGTAAGTATATCAGGCTTACTTTTAGTGCCATTGTAAAATTTCCCCACTCTTTGTTACACAACATCATCACACGGGTAACAATTAGATAAATAAATAATTACTTATTAATATTATTCGGTTAATAGTTTATTAAATTAACGTATTTCTGAAATGGCTCACAAGAATCCTTAATCTTTAACCATAATATTTGATATTTATTATTAAATGAATGTGAAGTCTATTTTATACATTATAAACTAGATTATTATGACCACGCATACAATATTTGTAATATATCTATTATCTATATAATATATTAATATGACTAGCAAACATATGTATATTATTATAAATCAGTAATTTCCGTAAATCAATTTAAGGCACCTATAGGTTATATAATTGTGTATAAATAAGATTATTAAAATCATCCATATTCAGTACTTGCATAATTATATTTTTCTAGCTAACCGTATCAAACCTTAGAACAATGATACACTTTATTGATTTTAATATGACATATTGACATACTTCAATAACTTAAGATGAATCGTTCATAAAATCTTAATTTGTAGACAACTCATAACTATATGATCTTGTAGATTTGATAGGGATACGTATGATATTTAATACTTATGTCTAACCACATTAACATTTTATGTTCATCAGTTGTATAGTTAGATCACAAATATACTAAATCGCATAAATTAAGGCCCGAAGAACTGAATAAGAAATATTTATAAAAAAATAACTTTAAGTAATGCCATAAGATCATATTATTATGATTAATATATTTATTGAATTGGTTTTAAATTTATAAATTTTAATATAAATATTTCTATAATTCTTTATATATTATAACAAAATACATCTAAATATATTCACGTAACTATTTAATAGTTGTTTTTTTAAATAATTTTATAATAATTAACACCTAACCTATCTATCTTACATTCTTAAACGTATAAGTAACAATCATGTAATCGTGTATCCATTTTTCTATATTCTAAATTTCTAAATGACTCACTAACAAGATTTCACTATTTATAGAACATTTTTTATTAAAAATATATAGAAGATTATATATAAATACAATATTATAGATTGATTTTTACAACCGTGAAATAACTAGGTAAAAATTATTATCTATGTATCAGCTTAATTTCTGAATCACATTTTTACGAATTTAGACCTCCGGAAGTAATGGTTTTTAACTCTGGCATAAAGTATACATGTCCCATATAGCTAGGGGAATTTGATTTTTCCGGATCCGCCGGAAATTCCATACATAAAAAACACCACCCCGGCAGTAATCTTCTGCGCGTACAGCAGTTACTGCTTGGAAAATTATAACTGTGACAAAAACTTCCAAAGAGTAAAATCAATTTGAAATCTACGTTATTTGTGTCAACTTATACAAAATATTACTATATTTACATATTTGTTTACTTTTTGGAATTAACATTATATAGTAAATACTTAAAGAATATATAGGTACTAGACGTATAGTACTATACTAAAAGTAAAATGTACATTTAAAAGTAAACAAAAATTAATTTCATGGACATATTCTTTCTTGTATATCCAATTTTATTTGTAATTACTAAAAATGTCCTTACCATTTTCTGACACAATAAAACGTGTTGACCCAATTATCTTTTGATATAATGCATGTAATCTTTCATAAGCTGTTAAACATAAGGATTCATTTGAGCACAATAGTCTATAGGCTATAACCCTTTGGTAAATAGCAAATGTAGTTTTGTTAAATAATAGGGACACAGTGAGGCTCTGAAAAAAATACTCGTACATAATATAATATGGAATGAAGAGTATATGCAATACAAACTCATCGCCTTAACAACGTCGATCAAACGAAGCCTTACTTACGAAGCACGTAGCTTTGGAAAGAGGTCAAGTAGCGTTAGAAAAGTTACACACAACTGACGCTCTAGGAATTAATATAAAAAGAGAAGCGTCTACCACATTTGCAAATTGTTGTAGTCTACATCTAATATCCATCAAACATACAAAATAGCTGATATCATCTTTATTTATATTCTTAGGCACTTAACATTTTTATAAAATAAAAAAATATATATATTATCTTGTTTTCTGTAAGTTATTTATATAAATTTACATGATATTTGTATTTTAAATGTTCAAAAATTATAAACAACTATCATTTTATTAATCATAATAGTAATTTACACTGATAAAAATCGTGAAAAATCTTATAGGGCTGTAATTAGTTTCAAAACGAAATATACTAAAATAGTGGAATTATAATAAATCGCATGCTAATGAATTATAATAAAGCAATTAATTTAATAATGTAGTAGTAAATACCACATAATATGCAATTCACGATAAGTTAGATATTATGTTAAACATTTTAAAAGGGATACATAATTTATTTATAAGTAATAACTTGTATACTTATATTATTATATTAATAATAATTAAGTATAATATGCCAAAATTATATTATTTTCACTATTTTTACAGACTCTTTATGACTATTGTATACTAATCTAAAATTTAGTATTTTTGTAATAATTTAACAAATAATTGATAATTTCGAGGCAGATATTTTGAAAATCGTTAAAATTTACAAAAAATCTCATATTTACACCAAAACTAACCAAAAGATTCATTAGAATTTAAAAAAAATATAAATGAAATTGAATATATGTTAATAATAGGAATAATTTCAACCAAGCGAATTCATTTAATTTACTGACGAGCAACCAAAAGTCTTGATAACTATGTTACATAAAAAAAAGTAAAACAGTCATGAACTTGACGAGAACAATTTCTAGAGTTTATTAAATTTATACATATTTTTGGGTGGGCTGTATACTTAAAAAATAGATGAAAACGTAATAATAATAAAGACAACAGAATAATGAATGTCATTTCAAATTAATGAAAAAAGGATCGCACCGGTGACTTTATCCAAATAATTTTGTTAACATATGGGTAGGTATTCGATATTTTATTTATATAATCATAACATTAATAACATCAACAACCACCACAGCAACAACAAAATAAATGTACATAAAACGTGTAAACAACTTACGTGTAAAACGTGTAAACGTGCCAACACGTGTGTATTCTGCCAGTGCGGAATACGTACGTTGCCGCTGGTGGTCAGCCCGTCAAAAGCCCCCTTGGATGCCGATACCGGCAAAAATTTTGTCCGTCGTCTAGTCGTCGTCGTCGTTGTCTCGCGGGGAAAAAGTATGATAGTAATTGTATACGATATAACGAATTTTTGTATATATTTTTTTTGTTAATATTATATTTTATTTTATGTCCTAACCGCTCAGAGTACGAACGACTTGTCGTCGCCACGTGATCTCATTCGATAACGGTCAATTAATAATGTTACGTCCGATGGGCATTCGTGTCGGAATTCAGAGACTAAGTAATATTATGTCACAACAATATAATAATATTTCACATGTATAAAAATTCATACATACATACTACATACATATATATATATATATATAATTATTATTATATATGTATATTTATATATACGTATACACGTTTCCAAGTATATAATATATGTGTATGAAAATATAAATGTGTATGTTTTTATTTTATTTTTTTTTTTTATTTCAGTGTATGAATCAGTAAGTTTTTATTGGACAGATTGAAAAAGACGTGCAATAGTTGTGTGACGCAAGACAAATGCGTGCGTGGTCTCGTGGTGGACTGACGTCGACATCAACGGTACCAGTGACCGGCAGCGGTGGTGTGACGACAGCGGCGGCGGCGGCGACACCGGCGCTTCGCGTAAATGAGCGCACGCGCGTTTTTGTGCGCGTGTGTGTGTACGCGCGTGTTTACGACGGTGTATTATGTGTATAATAAATGTGCTTGAGCTGGCCGCATGCGCGTCTGTGTGCGTGTCGGTGGTCCGCGCGAAATCGGTGCTCGGCGACGGCGTGACGACGCTCGACGCGATTCCGGCGCGCTAGAGTGGCCGGCGCTACGGTGGCGCGACCGCGCGGACGACCAACGAGGCGCTACGAACGCTCCGCCGCCGCCGCCGCGGTCGTCTCCGCCGCGGTGTCCCTATCGATTCGTACACGTACGTATAATAGTATACGCGCGCGATGCGGCGCCACCTCGGCCGTCGCCGCCACCGCCACCACCACCGCCATCACCGCCACCAACGACGACGACGGCCACAGCGGAAGCGGCTGTGGCAGCGACGAACCGCTCGCTCGCCGGACACGCAACACGCACAGGCGCGCGCGCCCTCCACCTCCGCCTCCAACGCCGCTATTCCATAAACCATATCGTCTTACCTGCCGCCACCACTGCCTTTACCTATTCACCCCCCC